TATATATATATATATATATATTTTTTTTTTTTTTTAATTATATTTTTTTTAGGTGGGACTTCAGTGTCCATATAGTTTTTGGAGCTGCTATATATTTGCTGTAAAACTATGGTCTTATTACAGACCGCGCTGTGTGGATGACCATTGTAGAATATGGGACGCTGGCCAAAGACGACATATGCTGTCAAATCCCTTGAATGTGTATAATTGTGTATGTGTGTGTGCATGCTAGTGTGTTCGGGATTTTTCCTTTTTTTTTTTCCTATCCGCCCTTCTCTGATATGTAGGAATTAGTGAACATTGCTTAACTACAAGCCGACCCTAATCAAAGTGCCGATTCTTTAAAAAGACAGCTGTTGTCATGTGCTTTAATTCACCGCTATCTCCCTTTGTCAAGCAAAGCTGGACACAGTTGTCTAGTAGAGACAGCTAGGGAACAGGGGTTAACAGACTTCTTTCAGTGAAATGGTCTTTTATACATCCATGCCACATGCCCATCAGTCACAAAAATCAGAGGTAAGTTCCATTTCATCTTTCTGCTGTTCTCTTTGGGACTAGCAATGCCATTACTCATGTCATTTGATACTTACCCACCCTTAAAGTGAACCCTCGGTTGTTAAAAGTACTACAGTAAAGCTGGTTTGCCTGGTGCTGTTTTGTGGTTTTAAGCCTCACATTTCTCTGTTATGCATTTTTGAGTTTAGAAAACAACACATTTTGAATGTAGAAGAGTACAGTCAGTTTTAATTCATCATAGAGGAATCAGAAAGATGCCATAATCAGACAATGGAGTTTCTTTGGCATCTGATTTTTGGGGTTTATGCTATACTTATAAGACGTTCATTTTTCTTATGAGTCACAACTAACTCCTTTGTCTCAATATCTCAATATTTGTCTAAAAAATATGTTAGAAATATGGCCTGCTGTTAATTCGTGTGATCTAAGAGCCATAAACGTACTGATTTATGATCACAGGAATAGTACTGATTAATTAAAAAATTTAAAGAATTTAAACGGGACAAATTTAAAAAAGGACATTTGTAATACACTTTTATATATATATATATATATATATATATATATATATATACAGTATATATTAGTTTTTATATTCTCACAATTAATGTAAAATTCAGTTTTTATTGAATTTTTCAGTATAATGAAACGAGGACTAATGCTGCCAAGCTTCAAGACATCAGAAAACACCAATGTATCCTAAAAGTAGTCCATATGATGTCTGTGATATATTACAGGTCTTCTGAAGTCATATGATAACTTGTGTGCAGAACGGATTTACATTTTTGCAGTTATTTGGTTGCAACAGTTTACAGCCCAATGGTTGAGACAATTAACAGCGAATAACTACTTAAATTTCAGTCTGATTCTTATGCAAACCTGTCATGCAACCACAGGAGATTTGGAATATAGGGTTGTGCCACTTTTTGAAGTTTGAAAAAAGAAAGGCATACAGTTTTTGAAATAACATAGGTAAATCAAGTAAATCATGTTATTTTTTTTGAGTGAAATGCAAGTCTACAGTTTTAGGTAACAGAAGAGCAATCTGTCCATTTTCAAACTTTGTGAGTGGAGGAAGGACACAGCTGCCATCCAATGAGATGATGCTGGTCAGGGTGTAAAACTCTGGCACTTCAGACAACTGAAAAATCATTGGCAGAGAGCAAAATTCTCAAAAGATGCTTGGGGTGATGTGGGCTTTGTTGCACTCTATTGAATGTATTTTGTTCCCATGGCTTGAGCTCGGACTGGCTGGACTTGGAGGTCTGGCAGCGGGAGTCACGTTTGATTCCACGGATTTATTTGGTCAATGCTCCCACAGCTGAGAGGTTTGAAATGAGAGCCTGAGCAGGTGTTGTTGTGGGAGAGAGAGCGGGAGAACTTTAGGAGTTTTCATGCTTCTCTCTCGCATTCTTCCCTTCTCACATCAGTTATTGTGCTGTGTACTTTAGCAAAAATGTTTGAAAAAGACTACATGCACCTTTTTTTCGTAATTCCAGCTGCATCAAATATTTGGACATTGTTTCTACTTTTAGCTGGGGGGTTTTTTCAGTCCAAATGTCATTTGACAACGGTAACAAATATTGTACAATACATTTTGAGACTCCACTATTTACGTTTACATGGACCCAAATAATCTATTAGTAATTGGATTGATGGCTGAATTGGATTGAAAATCCTTCATATAAACACCTTAATCCGAATTAAATTTCAATCGGAGTAAAATGACTATTTCCTCAATCAGATTCAAAAATACTTTGCACAAAACAAGCAACTCTTTTGACATATTTGACAGCTTTCCTTTTAATTTGGTTAAACATCTACTCAAACTCTTCAATTTTGTTAGAAAACATTTGAAAAGTTGATTGAAGGAAATCTAAGCTGAAGAAAATCAATGCATTCAACTTTTAGATACAGTATAGTTCACCCAAAAATGTTGTTCTAAACCTGTATGGCATTCTTTCTCCTTTGGAACACATAAAAGAGTGTTTTTTGCCCTTACAATGAAAGTCAGTGGGGTCCATTATTTTTTGTTGTATGGACATAAACAGTTCTGCAAAATATTTCTTTAAATGGAGAGACCTTAACTATACCATCAACAATTCTCCACAAATAGGATGCAAATCAGACCACACCTACAAGTAAGCTTCTTGAACTTAGGGCTGCTCGATTATGGCAAAAATCATAATCACGATTATTTTGGCCAATATTCTAATCACGATTATTTAGCACGATTATGAGGGGGCCATATGACCAAAACTTTATATGAGTGATTTATTTAAAGATAGTGATACATATCAAATATATATTTCCTGTAAATAAGGTTGCTATGACAGCTACATTGTAGAGACCAGCGGAATTTCAAACAAACAAAAACAAACAAAAAATCCTAAAAAGGATTGAAAATAATTAAACTGTCAGTGATAAAAAAAAGCAAAGGACAAATACAATAGAATAAAAAGATACAAATTAAACAAACTGTGCTTTAATGTTTTTTTTATGCAAGTCTCAAGCAGTTTACAGCCTACTACAGAAATTAATAATCAAATGTAAAATAAAACGGCATAGTCGTCACTGTAAGAATTAAACTTTTTTGTTTCTTATTAAAGTTACAAAAGTCCTTCACTCAAGAGCAGTGTGTGATTTTTGAAGTTGTCTTTTGTTGTTTGATTAATATTAAGCACACAGTCACAGCAGGAAAATAGCCGCTGTCACTGTAAGAGCCGCACGGATCCAATTTACCGTTACACGCGTATTTTCATTCTTAACTCTGTTAATTTATTACATGACCGACGAAGGTATACATAAATAATCACGTGTATTTGACCGTTTAGGCGCGCACCTTGAGCTAAAAGATTACTTTTAATCTTAAAGATTCTTAAAGAAGAGCAAGTTCTCTTTCACGCTTTTAAAAACATTAATACATATACTTATATAAATCAAGCACGTCCCATTTGGCAAAAGTCACGTTACATGGCTTTACTGATTTGCACGTGAAATTGGGCTTTTATGGAGGGGGCGGAATGGGGCGTAATAATCGTTTTATCTCGATTATTGTATTTTCATAATCCTTGGATGCCAAAATCGAAATTGTTTTTCGATTAATTGCACAGCCCTACTTGAACTTACACCAAAACTTGTTTGAGTTAGATAAAACATCTTGAGTGGAGTGACCTTGAAATGTTTTACGCTGTATATTAGGGTGACCATACGTGCCATTTTCCCAGGACGCGTCCTGGCCAGGATTTCTATATTGCCTAAAATATCTAGGTTTTGGCTTTGTTTGCCTGTGCAGACCGATCGGTGTATGACATCTAAATACCTCGAGAGCATTTTGAAAGCATAAGGAACCGTCTGTATGGTATTTTGATGTCATACACCGATCGGTCTGCACAGGCAAACAAAGCCAAAACCTAGATATTTTAGGCAATATAGAAATCCTGGCCAGGACGCGTCCTGGGAAAATGGCACGTATGGTCACTCTACTGTATATGTTCCTATTAATTGGAAACTTAAAGTTCAACAACAAAGTTTCTTAAATTCACCTATTGTCAGGTATGGATGGCAGAAGCTCAGCGTTGATCCCACAGATTGCCTTTGCTTACGCTTAGCCTTTCTTAGAGAGGAGATCTAAGGCTTCTCCTCATTCTGCCTTTGTTTACTTCCACTATCTTTCTTCACCAAACTGAGAAGACCCCATGACCCTGAATCTAAGGTTACTTGTGTGTTTATCTTTTTAAAAAGGACTGAGCTTGACACTATGTCAACAGCATCTCTTGAGCAGAAGGAAACAGCTCTAAGGGGCAGTGAAGAAAAAAGGAGTTTGTGTTTGCAGATGGATTACATGAAGGAAGCAGACAGTGCTAGCATCTACAATTAGATGTAAATGCCTAATATTTTCAGTCTATCAAATCTATTAAGCTAATAATGACAGTTCACAGAGGCTCTTTCCAAATGCAACAACTTTTCCCAATGCAATTAAATGTACTTCAAGTGCAATTATTACATATTAATACCTAACAGCTCTCAGGGAGAAAGCAATCCACTTAGGACCCACAAAGACCTTCTCTTTCTGTACCCCCTAGAGTTCAGTTGGGCATCAATCAAGGCAGTTAAGTGGGATCCTTGAGCAGAGATGGTATCAGTGGCAGCCTCTTACAGGCACACACTTCTGTTCCTGTTATCTATGGTAATTGCTCTGAGTCTCTGTCACCAGTGAAGCAAATCTCTCATCTCTGACTCAAATGCACTACTAAGAAAAATTTTATTTGAGCTATGTAGTGTGGGTAAACACATTTTAGGCGCTCGTTTCTCATTTCACAGTTGCGCTTAAGGACTCTTTACTCAACTTCTGTGGATGGCTAGACCAGGGCTTCTCAACTGGTGGTTTACTGACCTGTTCTGGACAGCAAAGAAAAACCCCCCACTAAATTCAAAATATAAAATGCATCAGATTGTATTATTAATATTTTAAGGAGGGGCTTTGAAGGTTTCAAGTCCAACCAAACCATTTAATTTATTTTAATATAATATATGACAACAAGATAAAACAATGTTCAATACATTTTATTATATATTATTAGTGCTGTCAAACGATTAATAAAAGTTTTTGTTTACATAATATATGTGTGTGCTGTGTATATTTATTATGTATATATAAATACACACACGTACAGCATATATTTTGAAAATATTGACATGTATTTACATATATATATATATATACAGTGGGTACGGAAAGTATTCAGACCCCCTTAAATTTTTCACTCTTTGTTATATTGCAGCCATCTGAATACTTTCCGTACCCACTGTATATATATATATATATATATATATATTCATACAATTTATTTTATATATAAATATTTAATATATACACATATTTTTCTTAACTATATACATGTATGTGTGTGTATTTATATAAAGATAATAAATATACACAGTACAAACACATATATTATGTAAACAAAAACTTTTCTTTTGGATGTGATTAATCGTTTGACAGCACTAAATATTATGTATTGAATATTATTACAGTACTTGATGCCCATTGTTCAGTCTGTGTAAAGAAGCAAAAACAGTGATATTTTTATACTATTAATATTTTTTTTTTAATTGTTATTTTTTTTTCATTTTAAGTTTTATTTTGTCATGTATTTTGTCATTTTTATTACAGGTTTTTTATTTCTATTTAGCTTTTTTATTTATTTAAAAAAAATTTTTTTAGTTCTTCAACTTATTTTATTTCAATTAGCTGCCAAGGCAACATTTCTATTTTTTGTTAAGTTTAAGATTTTTCATCTAATATTTATATTTTATTTAAATTAGCGAAAACTTTCATTTTTGTTACCGATAACAGCACTGGTTGAGAACCACTGGGCAAGACCTGTCAGTAGCCCAATATTCCAGTGCCCTCCATACCGAAATGTGATGGGCCTAATAACAAAAACAAGCAGCGCGGTGTGGAGCTGCTCCCACAGAGTCAGCACATTAATGAGGACCATATGGAGCTGCCCAGACACACAGTCAGTGGAAACCCAATTCCTCTTTTTCTTCCCTCTCCTACCCTCCTTCAGTCACTTCTCTGCTTCTCCGTCTCTCAATTTATAGCATAAAGCTTCAGCCGATTGTTTTCTGAAAGCTTAAGCGTGATAAAAACTTTCTAACTTTTTAGTTTGTCAGTTCATTCCCCCGAACAGTGTAAACATTCTGTGGTGTTATAAAAACATTGTTTGAACATCCCGACAAGCCTGACAACAGCAACAGCAGCTCAACAAATGGCATGGGCTTGAGGTGTCGCCAAGCTGTTTGTTCAACCAATGACAGATGAGGGGAGTCTTCAGGAAACCTGCTCGTAAACAATCATTATTTCCACTATTCAGGTCAAGTTTTTTTGGTCTCTTACTTGGTGTAATGGTTCATATCATTCCATTTCACTTATTTTTCTTAACTTGCGCTGAATAGGAGTTCTGGGATTTTAGCAAATGACCTTCTTCTCTTCTCTTCCCAGTACTTCATCTTACTCTCTGTCAAAAAATGTAGTCTCTTTATTTCTCTGGTTTCTCAAATGGAGACTCTCCGTCCCCTCTCACTGGCCTGGCATTCAGTCCTGCCATGAAGCGGATGGCTAATTTTACCAGACTGACCTCATTCCACTATTGTATAAGAACAAGCGAGTCAGTGTCAGGAGAAATGTACTGGCTTATCCCTTCGTTTCCGTTCCTTTCTCGTTTTTCTTTCTGTCTTTTTCTTCATTTTTTTTTACCTGATTCATCTCTGTAATCGACTCGCTCCCTTCTTGTTTCGACCAGAGGAATATGTATATTCGCTGGGTCATGCAATGTAATATGCTCACAAACGTGGTGGAAAGAAAGAACCCTTTCTCCGCCCATCAGCCTCGTCAAGTCGTCTATTGGCATGAGGTGCTTGTAAGGGGCTCACTGATCCATCCACCTGAGTGAATGAGCTATTTGCTTCAGTGGCCAGATTCTGAATGATGCCTCTGTAGTATCAATACCACTATAGACCTGAGACAGGAATGACTTTATGGGGGCAGCCAGCTCTCTAGTATTTAGGTAATTACTATTACCATTGACTACATTAATACACATATTGCTGTGAGGGAGAATGAAATTTAATTTTAAGTCAAACTTCAACTGATCAACCAATGTGTGATGATACAAGGACATATATATATATATATATATATATATATATATATAAGTAACAGACATGAAGACACTGATGTGTATGCAAATATTATGTATATAAATTAATGTGTACATTTTGTGTTTACTCCAAGGCTACAGTCTCAATGGATCCACAAAATCATTTCAAACGGTAAGCAATATATTGTTCTTTTCCAGTGGCGGGCCGTGCATTTTACACCGAGCCGTGCCGAGGAGGTGTGTGGTTGCTTTTCGCAGTCATTAGGACGACTGTTTTTAGATTGACTAATATAGTAGGCAAATATTTTTTCAAAACGCACTGAAAATCTAAACTTTTCCCATAATCACAATGTAACCTCGTATCTTAAAGCACCAACTGCAAACATGATCAAACTATAAACCAGGAAATAAAGTAGTAGCAGGAAACCAATAAAGTAGTTCAACAAACCATGATATTAGACTGGAGGATGTAGGACTAGCATGCTGAAGCCCATCATAAAATTGAACCCTCCAGGCTAGGCTGAACTATTTTAATTTATTTAGCTTTCCTCAGCTTATTACATAGATTAGAATAAGCTTTGTAGAATTTCAGCTGCCCAAAGCGAGGCAACTGATAGATGACAGTTTGTTCCCATGTTTGTTTTGGCACATTTAATTGATCACTTAGGCTAATGTATCTTTCAAAAAATATATTTTCAACAATTAAAAAGCGGTTTATGCAGAAAACAAGATTTAAATTATTTAAAACGTTATAATAAGCATGCTCACAGTCATTCTTGAGACATGGGACAAAACAGGTCCAGCAAGGATAACTGCTATTAGGCTTAAAAATAAAAATATTTTCAATTTTAAATGTCATGAGGGATTAATAATAGAATGTATTTAACACTATTATCACCTTCAATTTAATTTTCTCATTATTATACCAAATCTATGTTTCGTAATGTCCTCTCACTACATCTAAAACAGTGTGTCCACAGAGAAGGGTTCAATCATTCAAATGCAATAAAATGGATAACAATGTTTTTTTTTAATGTTGAAAAAGAGCTTGTTTTATCAAAAGCAACACTTAATAATAGCTCCTATCAAAGCAAGGTTGTTTTTTAATGACACATTAAAAAGTTTGTTGCGTCCCCACTTTTCGTCAACACCGTCAGACATTCAATAAAATGTAATAAAATCAGGGAATATCAGGGGCAGCTGTCACTCTAAAGGACCCCCTTGCCACAGTTCACCTCTGCAGAGTACATCAGTGTCAGACAGGCTCTGCTAAGTTAGTTTTAGAATATTTTAAATCCTAATGTTAATATTTCCTGTGTCACAGCCATGATATGTCAACACCATCTTCCAATTTCTGAGGAAATTATTTGAAATATGTAGATAATTTTATTTTCCTGAAGCAGGTGAATGTGTTTTGAAATGTTAAAAAAGTCTTGAATGCTGTTAAAGATAAAGTTGAAATTATATTACACAGTCCAAGCTAAAAAAAAATCACATTTTGTTAAAAAAGAGAAAAATCCGGAGCTTGTATCAAAGCATAGCTCAGTGGCTTAGTACATATAAGATACATAAATGTAGTTTAGAGTACAAGGTTTTATTTTTTCAATTTTGCACCCTGTTTTGTCCCACTTCTCAAGAATGACTGGCCAACAATTAACAATAGTTGACTGACTCTGTAATGAAAAATGAACAAAACGACTAGGGATGCACCGATATGAAAATTTTGGCCGATACCGATAACCGATTATTCTTTATTTTTGAAAGCCGATAACCGATATGTTGGCCGATAAATCTATATCCAAATTGTTATATACTTTTTGAGAGCCTGATTACAAAAAAGGTCTCATCATTAAAAGCCACATCCCAAACACTTCAACATAAGCAGCCTAGTTTGAACGGTGTACGTTTTAAAAATATTTTTACTCTCCCATTACCAAATTTAGTCATAAAAAAGCCTTACAAATAAATAAAATTATGCATAAATAATGCAAACAAGTCACTGGACATCATTACACGTGTAAAGAATCAAAATGAATGCGCCATAGATCAATAAAACGGAATAGCCTCTGCACGGACAATAATTAAATGATTTTAATTACTAAACCATATTGTTGATGAAAATAATAAGAGAACAATACAAGTGGTTGTTGTTATTAATAATGTATCGATGATTTTGAAAAAGTAACAAATTAATACCACTGTTTTAAATAGCAGCCGTTGAGCTGCGCGTGCTGAAGCTGAAGAGCTGAATGAACATGGTAAACTGAAGCGTTTTGCTGGCAGCTTATTTAACTCAAGGAAATGCATCCTGAGATTAATATTAATACAACATAAACATAATATTACAACTTATATATGTACAAAATGACGCAGTTATTGCATGCTATAGTCAGAATGTGTGATCCTGTTGTGGATGCGCTCTTCCCATAACAACGCGCTGAAACACGGCAACTAAACCCAAAGAATTCACAACGTTTTATTATAATAATGTTCTCATTAGAATGTTATATACATGACATTCCCAATCATAGTTATTAATGTTGTGCACTGCTGTTTGGGCTGCGTGTGCTGAGCTAAAGATGATCACCGGTAAACTGAAGCGCTCTTTTTAACTTAACCAAACGCATTCTATATGAGATAAATCAGATATACATCAAATAAACACAATATTACAATGTACAATTGCACAAAAGGCTGCAAACGAACAGCGCGCATCTGAAGTGTCTCTGAAGGAAATAATGCATTATTTATCGGCTTTAAGATATCGGCCAAATTTTCTTATCAGGCCGATACCGATAACAGAAAAAATGAGCCGATATGGGCCGATACCGATATGGTGGCCGATATATCGTGCATCCCTAAAAACGACATTCATGCAACCTAAAACGTTCATTTATAGACAGAATCGTTCATTCTTTATGTGCATACTTTTGCACTGCATAACTCGTATAAAGACGTGACTGAGCACTTGTCAGCTTTCATAGAAAGGGCTGGCGAATAGAAGCTCCTCCCTTTCGATGCTTTTCAGCACTTTTGCTTTGAATGACAGTGGCTGGGAAGGGAATGAAAAAGTTGTGTGATTTCTCGCAGCCTCAACGTCGATGAGCAGCAGTTGGAGAACTGCAATCAAACTGAATGGATTGGCATGGGGAGAAGCGGCACTCTCAACCTGGCTAAGCAGCAGCTTTGGAACTGGATTTGTCTTTTAGTGGTTTCTATGAGCCTGTTACTCCGACCAGGTAAATAGTTTTGCTCGTATTAATCGCTCTTATGCGCATGGCAGAGCGAGAGCTAATGGGAAAACTTTACACTATCGTTTGGAGAGAAGTTGTTCAATCAAAATCTCTAAAAAAGTATTTTAAAACTTTAAACGTGCTACTTAATGCAATTGCACAATCGCTCATATTAATGTACGTTACCTTCTCATTTATTCGCATTTAGTTCTTCTGTAGGCCAGAGTTGTGCTGCTAACTCGCTTGCAAATCAGCAGCGTTTTTGCGAAAAGGCTTAAACCCAACATATTTCATATAACCAAATGTTATACTTACCTTCTGAAAATGATGTTTGAAGTTAATCCTCACTATTTACCGTTCTTTAAAAGTATTGCTCAGTTTAGTCAGATATTTTATTAGTTTGGCAAAACTTTCGCTAACCTGGCTAGCTTCTCGCCGTGTCGCCGTTTGAAGTTGTTTACTTCGAAAGCCCGTGACTGTTGAAGAAGAAAGTGTGCCTTTAAGAGTAATAAATAGTCATTTGTGAACAGCAGCGATCAAATATGGGTTATTTACATTTTGCGTTAATTGCGCGTTTTAACCGCCTATATGCCTCTCTGAAAAGCACGCGCAGGATTTTTAAATTTTTTTTTTTTGTCGCTAGACGAAGTTTTAAATGTTCGCGAATGGGAACTAGATGTAAAAATAAGCAAATACTTTGCTGTGTGCTCTGAATACGATTGAATTTTTGTTGTTGTTGTTGTTTTTCCCCCTACAGAATGATAATGTATTATTTGATGTTAACTAAATCATTAGCTATAACAATATGAATAGTAACTGTTTTAATGTAGTAATTAATATTTAACAGTAGCCATATATAAAGTTAAATAATATTACATTACTAGACAACTTTGAATATAAAGTATTAGTTTAGGAATTGTTTATAATTCTGCATGATAACGCTAACCTGGCTAGCTTCTCGCCGTGTCGCCGTTTGAAGTTGTTTACTTCGAAAGCCCGTGACTGTTGAAGAAGAAAGTGTGCCTTTAAGAGTAATAAATAGTCATTTGTGAACAGCAGCGATCAAATATGGGTTATTTACATTTTGCGTTAATTGCGCGTTTTAACCGCCTATATGCCTCTGAAAAGCACGCGCAGGATTTTTAAATTTTTTTTTTTGTCGCTAGACGAAGTTTTAAATGTTCGCGAATGGGAACTAGATGTAAAAATAAGCAAATACTTTGCTGTGTGCTCTGAATACGATTGAATTTTTGTTGTTGTTGTTGTTTTTCCCCCTACAGAATGATAATGTATTATTTGATGTTAACTAAATCATTAGCTATAACAATATGAATAGTAACTGTTTTAATGTAGTAATTAATATTTAACAGTAGCCATATATAAAGTTAAATAATATTACATTACTAGACAACTTTGAATATAAAGTATTAGTTTAGGAATTGTTTATAATTCTGCATGATAACTCACAAATTCACTAAATATGCATACAGTGTGAAAAAAAGTGAAATCAAATACGCCAGCTAATCAGAACTATTAATGTTTTATAACATATCACTAAATGCATACTGACAGACCACTAATTGACCATGTTTTTACTATGACAAATGCATCCAGTCCAGCAGAAAAATGAGTACATGGTCACTTCACACCAGTGCTCTGTCTCACAAATCTGTCTGTTAGGCCTAGTCAAAAACAGAGATATTGCATTCATTTCCACAGAGTTGTAAATTATGCATAACGATTAATCTAGAACAGTTTATGTAAGATAGTATATGCTATTCTAAAAAGTAGGCTACATGTGAATCCCATATTATTAACATGAACAATGTATTAAATAAGTTAATTTACCCGTGAGCACCGCTACTTCCTTGCTAATGTGCAATATTTTTAGTAATTACTCATACACTACTCTGAAGTCATGGAAATTCATTGGTCAAAATCTGTGGAAACCCTGTAGAATACAATTACTACGTCACAGCAGTGGGAGTTTTTCATATTTTTAATAATGCTAGCCAAATTCCATCCCATTTGTTATTGTTGTGCCTGTATTCAAAGCAGTTGAAAGACATCTTATCAAATGAAGCAGTAACTATTTTCACACTTTTGTTAGACCATAACCATAAAACACTAAAAGGAATCCAGACAAGGAATGTTTTCATGGTTTGGAATGGCAATCGGCAGCTTGTAGTTATCTTTTCAGATGCCATGCTAACTCGAGTGCAACCAATGAATGTGTCAGAATGACAAAATACAGCAGTTGTGTAGCTGTTAAACAGGTTTAGTCTATAGATTGATAGCTAGAAACCATCCAAGGCTAAGAACTTTAATCATGAACGTCTCCATCACCAACCAACCATCAAATAGGGATTCTCTCACAGTTTTAAATGCATCTCATTAATGTCTAATTCTTCTTGATTTTCAACAGTGTGCTGCCAAAAATGTCGAATTCAGCGCTGTAATGCGGAGTACGTGGCCTCATTCTCACCCTCGGGTGGCTTGCAAGAGGAGGTGCTTCCAGATGTGGACTACTGCATCACTCTGAGGGCCTACTCGTTGTGTACGCGTCGCACAGCTCATGGCTGTAGAGGGGACTTGGTGTACCACTCCGCTGTATTCCGTATTAAAGAGCTCTTTGCACAGCACAACTGCTCCATCGACGGCCCAACGTCGTCAGCCAAAGCACCCAGCACTTCCAAGCCACCAGTGGTGGACGTCTGCAACTACGAAAGCAGGGTGCTCGCGTCGGGCCCGGCGGCTCAACAGAAAAAGTACGGACATTGTGGATTATTTGGTGATCCTCACTTGCGGACTTTTCGGGATGAGTTCCAGACATGTAGGGTTGAAGGAGCCTGGCCGCTCATCCACAACAGATACCTTTCGGTTCAAGTCACAAACGTACCGGTGGTTGAAGGCTCCAGTGCTACAGCAACCAACAAGGTTAGTTGTGCAAATGGCTTTTTGCTAACTTCCTGTAAGTGTGACCTGTTCCAATTTGTACTGGTCTTTTTAGTAAAGCAGAGTAACCACGATACTGGTGGTTTTATGAAATTGGGCAAAAGTTGTTTTGAAGCCTTGTCATCAGTACAAGTGTTGAAAAGGTGAAAAAAGCAATCATTTACTCACCCACATGTTGTTCCAAACATATATGACTTACTTTTTCAGCAGAGCACAAATTAAGATATTTTGAAGAATTGTTCAGCTTTTTGTCTATACAGTCAGTCAGTGGGGTCCAAAACCAACATTTGAATCCCATGACTTTGTAAAGACAAAAACGCAGATTTTTTTTTTTATTATAGTAACAATAATTATGCATAATTGCATGCAAGTAACTAGGGCTGGGCGATATAGCTAAAAAAAAGTATCAACGATATTATGTTTCATATCGTTCGGTATCGATAATTATTGACATTTTTATAACCTTTTTTTTTTAAAACAAAAAGCAATAGAATTTTTTATTTTTATTTAACCACTGTATTTATGATTAACACAATTTATTGAGACAAACAACAAATATTTTTTGTTTTAACAATATAACAAAATATTACTATTGTATTTAGGCTTATTTTTTATTTCTGTTTTAGATTTATTTATTTCCATTTAGTAATTTTATTGCTTCGACTTAAACTTATTTCAGTTATTTGCCAACATTTCATCTTTTTGATTTTCATAAAAAAAAAATTCAAGGTTATTTCAATGAACAAAAAATGTTTTAATTAATTTCTTAGCCACATTACATTATTTTCCTCGTCATATTTAGATTATATATTTGGCCTTTTCACCATTTTATAAATGGGACAAGAAATAATTTGTCTGTCCACCATCGATGGGTCAAAAAGCTGCACAGTGTGAGACAATTTCATTCAGTCAGAACATTTTTGATGTTTAATATGTTGATATTGTATAATTTAATAATGTGATGCAGGACTTTGGACCAGTGAGGTCACTGTTGGTTAGAATGCTTCTGTTAGTCTCTTGTTGATTTGCGTCTCCGTACTTGGTTCATTGTTGTTATTGTTAATTAAAAAATGTTTTTCGTTAATTCTAATACAACTGAAATAAAACATAAATATTAGATACAAAACTAGAAATGTTGCTTTGGCAGGTAACTAAAATAAGTTTAAGTCGAAGTACTAAAACTGAAATAAAAATAATGAAATATTAAAAAATGACAAAAGCACATAACACTGATAATGATAGTGATAATACTAAAACACCACTGACCTGGTGGTTAGGACATGTTCCAACAAATCAGGCTGCACAAAAACACAATGTTGAAACAATCCTCTAGTCAATTGAAAGCAATTTCATGTATTGATTTTCAGTGTGAGCTATTACTCACCATTTCCCGTTTGATCTTCCCTGTAGATAACAGTCATCTTCAAGTCCTACCATGACTGCACCGAGCAGAAGGTGTACCAGGCCACCACCGAGGACCTGCCGTCGGCGTTCCAGGATGGCACGCGAAGCGGTGGGAAAGCAGAGAGCCTGTGGATCGCGGAGGGTAGTGGAGGTCTAGGTATACGGCAAGTGAAGATCCACGCTCGCTATCTAGGCACGTCCATCATTGTGCGGCAGGTCGGCCGCTACCTGACTTTCGCCATCCGCATGCCTGAGGACTTAGCGGAGGAGAACGGTGGCCTGCAGCTGTGTCTGCACGGCTGTCCGCGCAGTGAGGTCATCAAAGCCCACGTGCTCAACCGGCAGCAGAGCCTGCGTCCGCCGCGGCTTATGGGCGGCTGGTACGGGGAGGGCGATGGCGGCGAGATGCAGCCAGGCCTCTCGGCACACGTGGACATGTTGGAACGTGCGACCACAAAGTGTCGAGAGATGCTGCAGGTGGAGGACGTTTATTTCCAGTCGTGCGTGTTCGATCTTCTCACGACAGGCGATCAGGAGTTCTCCATGGCTGCGTATGGTGCCCTGGAGGACCTTAAGGCACTTCCGCCAAGCACTCTGAAACAAAGTTCACCCAGGACTCCACACATTTATAGTAGAGGAACAATAGTTACACCTTCTGTTTTCACGGCTCTGGTTCTTATGCTGCTGTTGAACTGAAGGAGCTGGTCTAGACGCCAGCTTGAGGATGGATACCCACCAGCCAGCCTGTTCTTCAACCATGACACCCTCCTGGAAAAACAATCAAACTGACTTCAAACTGTCTGCGAGTGAGAGACTCGTTCCATTTAAACATGCAGTGTTTTACTCTTCAAACGGATAATGGCAGAACACTCCAGGGCTTTCCGAATGTGAAATCGACAATCGCTCGAATCTGGAAAAGATGAAGGCAGCTTATCTGCATATCTTCTAGGTTATCACCGATTAAAGAATGGAAACTCTACTACAGATGTGACGTTATTGGATGAAATTATTGTAAAAGACACATAGGATGTCCTGAATCACACAAGTTTAGGTGCACTTCAAACTTTCTACTATAAGAAAATATGTTATCTACACGGGATCCAACAACTACATGAAATGCTACCTATCCATATATTTTTGGGTCTGGGTCATACAACCACACATTAAGCTACAGTCATGGTAGGAAAAGACTTATTCAAGCTGCTCTGCTTATTAAGGAGAAAACAAAACAAATTCTTTATATAATAATATATTGAAAGAGTGTATATATGTGTTTTATATGTGTACATTCACTTGTGTATAGATGTTAATGTTTTGAAGCAGTTTCATGTAGTTAGATTAATTTTTTTCAGTTTGTATAAAACAACTAATATTTGCTGTATTGTGTATCTGTTGTTTTCCATATTAAAAAAAAAATGAGTTGTGACTAAGTCTTTTTTCCCTGACTTCTGACACTTTCTACTCCATAGAGGGTGCTATAGAGTTGCAAGTTTGAATAACTTGAATTTTTTTTTTTTTTTGTCTTTAAAACACTCTATTTCCTTACACCAGCAATAAAGTGTTGCAGGAACTTGGTGGTAATACCAGAATGTCTTTTTAGCTGCAGTTATGTAAGCTATAATGTACAGTCAGCCATTTGTTATAGCAAAATATACCTGACAAGGTGATTAGTGCCTCACTTATATTACACGGCTCCTTGCCAAGTAAATAAATAACTTGACATGAAAAAATAATTCAAGGCGAAATTACCCTTGTTATATGGGAAGAAAAAGCAGCAAACTAATGCGAGAGACTTGATACTAGCATAGAAAATCGTACAAAATAGATTGCTTATGATGGCTATCAGACTGCTGAATGGCTTGATTGACCAATCAGAATCAAGAGATAAATGTATTGACGCCAACCAATCAGAATCAAGATTTCAACAATTCAGCAGTATAAGCATAAATAGTACAATTTAATATAACGTTTGTGGCCATTTTCAGTTGTTATACAGAATGTCTTTTCTTTTTCTTTTTTGTACAATTTACGACGCACACAAACTCAAAATCAAGGAAAGACGTTTGCACTTCTTTTTTTCCAGCAATGCCATTTGTGCGCCCATTGCTTGTTCCTGTTCCCGTGATGTTAAGGACTTTTAAAGGAACACTCCACTATTTTTGAAAATAGGCTCATTTTCCAACTCCCCTAGAGTTAAACAGTTGAGTTTTACCATTTTCTAATCCAATCAGCCGATCTCCGGGTCTGGCGGTAGGACTTTTAGCTGTAGCTTAGCATAGATAATTGAATCTGATTAGACCATTAGCATCTCACTCAAAAATGACCAAAGAGTTTCTATAGTCCCCAACTAGGTAACTTTCAATAAGCCTATTTTCAGGCGCTGCGTAATATCATTGCGCCTACTGCAGCAAAGTTCCTTGATTATTACGCCGGAATGAGAGTAGAGTTCCTAGACATATCGGCCAAGAAAATCGCAACTTTTCATTTTCCGTCGGTCTTGTCCCCAACTAGGTAACTTTCAATAAGCCTATTTTCAGGCGCTGCGTAATATCATTGCGCCTACTGCAGCAAAGTTCCTTGATTATTACGCCGGAATGATAGTAGAGTTCCTAGACATATCGGCCAAGAAAATCGCAACTTTTCATTTTCCGTCGGTCTTAGTACACAATGTAACTACAGAGGAGTCAAGTTTTAAATAGGAAAAATATCGAAACTCTTTGGTAATTTTTGAGCGCGATGCTAATGGTCTAATCAGATTCAGTGATCTATGCTAAGCTACAGCTAAAATTGCTACGCCAGACCCGAGATCGGCTGAATGGATCCGAAAACGGTAAAACTCAACTGTTTACCTCTAGGGGAGTTGGAAAATGAGCCTATTTTCAAAAATAGTGGAGTGTTCCTTCAAGGCCTCGGGTGGAAGCTGGTATGAAATGACGGGGTCGCGTGACAAAGATTAAAATGTCGTCAGTTTAACCACATTCATCATGCTAAACTAAGCATTTTCCAACGCTGCCCTTCTCTTGTACTTTGCAGCTCTCGGCACTCCATCACTCTCAAGTTTTAACTGCGTCCGATGTGAGGAGAAGAAAAGAGGCAAGGTTCTTCATGCTAAGAGCTGTCAGAAATCATCTCATACATATATCGCAGGCCTGTAGTTAACCTGCTGACAGCTATATGCTTTTGTTACTCCAGTACAGCGACTGTATTTATTGTTTTTATATAGCATTTTATGCGTTTTGTCTCATTACTGTCTTCCCGCGTTCCTGTCATTTAATTATGCTCTTCATTCTAGATACGATATAATGAGGTACATAAACAAATGTATATAAAAAAAGGACAATCTACTTTGTTCGTTGCTCACTTTGATCTAATAAACAAGGACAATTATTGGGCTAATGAATTAAAATAAGCCCCTTGAGTGATTAATATTCACACTGGAAAAATTTATTTGACATTAATAGGATATTTGGCAAGATAAATAGACAGCACAGAACATGTCCGCACGGTGACTGATAAATGGATAGGTGGTTGGCTCTCTTTAAACAAATGCCTTTTTAATTAATTAATCAATTAGAAACCATAACCGCAAGCGTTTACAGTTTTACTGGATACATTAAAGCTGTGATTTTTATTTGGCATACCTCGCATAAAATGCTGCTACTTCATGATGGATATTGCTGAAGAAGGTGTCTTGAGAAATAAAATGCTTTGCAAACAGCCAATAAGAATTTGACCGACCCGCTTGGGCCAGCCAATCAGAAAATTCGTAAAATAAAAATCAACCATATTAACTTTATTAAAACACGTTCCTATTGTTATTTTCCACAATTCATGATTTAATGTTATTTTTAAAGAAAATGTTTGACTTTGCATGTTTTTTATTTTTTTATTTTGCTCCATTTCTTTGACGATTGATTGACATAATTTAAGGTTAATTTTATTTATTGTTGAAATGGGAGCGAATTCATTTGGAAACATCTATTACTTAAGTGAAATTGGCTGCGAATGCAGTTATATATTGATTTATTTCTATGTATATCTTTCACTGCTTTTAGGAACTTCTTTACTATTTTATTCTGTAGACAAAATATAACACTCACACCGGCCATTTGTTCACGCTCAGATCTACAAGCCTGCATCTTGCATACGTAATGCGCTGGGTTTTGTGTTGTATATTTGTTAACAAGTCTGCTCTACAGAACTTTTTAACAAATGGCCCCCTACACCTCCAAGCCTGGAAAAACCAAGCTGGAAAATTAGGCATCTGTATCATAAATCTTTGAAAGTTAGGATAATTTGCAATTCACTCCCTCATCAAAGGCAATATTACCCTAATTTATTATCTTCCCGCGTGTAAGGCGCTCAGAGGCCGTGGAGATAAGAGTCTATCAGGAGGAGGATTGATTTTCATTAACAGATTGTAATAAAGATGAACTGCTCGGCCCGCACACTGACCAAGAGCCACACTTTATTGTAATTGGGCCAATTTATTTCATGAGCCACTGCCTCCACTTTTTTTTAGGCTCTTCCCTTTCTTTTCTCTCTCTCCCTCAGTTCAGTACTGTAATGTTTCAACCACATCCTTATTTATTCTCTTCCCATATTTCAGCCATCAGACAAACTGTATATTCACTATTTCATATGTCCATGACTTCACAGTATGGACTATTCAGTTCTTGACCTACATTTTATTTTGATTTGTAAAATGTAAGCTGTAACCATTTAATTGATTTAAGTGATTACCTAAATATTATGCAATCTACTTAAATTGAATGTGCAAGGTTTCCGGCCCCATATTTTACCTGTACAGGACAAAAACAGTCCATTATGTTGCTGGATATTGCAAACTGTTTTTTCTTACCATATTATTTGAATTCACATAATCATAAACACCGGTTAGTGGTGCAAATAGTTTGACTATTTACCGCAGTTTGATGTTCTTCTTGTTATTTAACTTAAGCAACTAAACAATTGGAAGTCTTGCACGTTCAAAGAAAATACATAATTTCCATGTTGCAAAATAAGGTGCATAAAAAGCACAAAAATTCCATGGAGGGACTGTTTACAAAAACGATCTGATTGAACTGATTCACTAGAAGAAGATTCACTTTCCAACACTTTGACAGAACCATTCTGGATGAACCAATTTACGAAAATGAACGTCTGATTGAACTGATTCTCTAGAAGAAGATTCTCTTTCCAACCAGCGTTAATTTTGACAGCAAATTTTGATTTAGTTTTAGTCATAGTCTTTTGACTAAAATGCCATTTAGTTTTCGTCATATTTTAGTCATCTGAATTGTTTTTAGTTTTAGTCTAGTTTTAGTCGACTAAATATCGTAAGATTTTAGTCGACTAAATCTACAGTAAATTTAGTCGGCTAAAATCTAACGGGTTTAGTTACAGTGCATTTATTAAGCATTTCTCTAAAATTTCCAAACTCATTAGGCCTATATTGGTTTGATATTAATGCTTTATCATGATAGACACCGATTTAACTGCGGTGACACACAACATGCCTTTATGTTAAAATGAAATAAAACCACTTCTCGTAAAGAACAAGAACATGGTCTTCTTTTTAATGAAATATCAATGGTTATATAGGCTAATTATGCATTCTTTATAGCAACTTGTTTACCATATTCTTCATTCTTTCAAGCAGACATGTTTATTTCTATAAATAAATTTAGATGAATCTTTAGGGCTACTAAAGTGATTCAGTCAAGAGCAGTGCGTGATTTTCTGTCTTTTTTTGTTGCTTGATTAACATCAATGACTCGGACAATAGCAACTAAATTAGGCTGCTATCCCTTTAAAACCGAATGCACAGCTGCAATCGATGCAATGTACTGCTACACGTTCTCCCTGCTGTTTACGTTCACTTAAACACTGTGTTTACGTGAATACTCGTCAAAACGGACAATTCGATATCAATTTGTGTGTAATTCTCCGTTCATGCGACGCGAAAGAGTACTCGCGCGCTGTGAGACCCGCTTTCTGTGTGTGTATGCTTCAGTGTCTGTGCTCAGAAAACACTACTCCCACATATTGACATTTTTTTAATGTTTTATGAGACGTGCAGCAAGTGTATGTTAGCTTATGTTCAGCCGGTTCATATGTACGCATCTAACCTCGTAACTATGCAGCAGATTCGTTCTGAACGAATCTCTTCCCAAATCATCCTTCCCTAACATTTTCGTCTCGTTTTTATTCGTTGATGCTTTCTGTGTGTGTATGCTTCAGTGTCTGTGCTCAGAAAACACTACTCCCACATATTGACATTTTTTTAAATGTTTTATGAGACGTGCAGCAAGTGTATGTTAGCTTATGTTCATATGTACGCATCTAACCTAACCACACAGCAGGTTCGTCCTGAATGAATCTCTTTCCAAATCGTCCCTCCCATTTTCGTCTGGTTTTTATTCGTTGACAAAAATGTCAATAGATTTACGTCATAGTTTTTGTCATTTAAAAAGAGTTTTAGTTCGTTACCGTCTGGTTGTAGTCGGCGAAAAAAATGTCGTTGACGAAAATTATGACGAAAATTATTCGTCAATGAAATTAACACTGTTTCCAACACTATACATGAACAGGAAGAACCATTCTGAATGAACCAATTCACAAAAATGAACGCCTGATTGAACTGATTTACTAGAAGAAGATTCACTTTCCAACACTATACATGAACAGGAAGAACTATTCTGGAAGAACCGTTCATGAAAATGCACAGACTTAGCCGCCCTACACATAAGTAAGAGAGAGGGCCTTTTAGGGTGAACTTGATTCACTAGAATGAATCTTGCCAGCACTACATGAGAGAGAGCCACTGAGAATGAGGACTTTCCACGACTACATATGAGAACTATTTAGGACGAGCTGATTGATCAGATGAATCCAATGCTACATATAAGAGAAAGAGGACTGTTCAGATAATTACAAAGTAGATAACAACTCCATAAAACAGTTTTGAAAGTTGTAAGTTGTGAAAATTAAGTGATTTAAGATACATTGTAAAGACTGTAAATACATTGTAAAGACTGTAAGTCAGTCCCGTATAGCCTTGTTTTCAACCAGGTTAAAATTCAGTATGGCATCTAACCTGATTAAGATCGAACAATTAACAAATAAAGTTTCAGTATCATGTTAAAAAAAGAGGACGTTGCGCTTACCTTTACACAGCACTGCATGTTTTAGGCTCAATAGAGTTAGATAAGAACCAAAGACAAACAGACCTCAAATGTCAATTTAAACTTTTATTGTAAAATTGAAAAAAAGAGAGAGAAAGAGAGAAGCCCATTAAGCGTTTCTTTTCGATGCATACATTTTTCTAAACATAACCAATAAATAGGCGATTCATAAACAGATTGTTGTCAGGAATAAATAAATAAATAAATAACTGAATAAATAAATAATTAAATAAACATGTTCATAAATTAATCGGCAAATCATTAGATGAGTAGGCATAACTGTAAAACAATATAAGCAGCAAGTATTTGAGAAATGTCAACAGCATGTTTGGTTTCTCAGGCATTTATCTTGGACATATATTCTCTGTCTCAAAAAAGAAAGAAGAGGAAAATAAATAAACAGAGAAATTGTCCATTTCAGTTGGTCATGCCGCACCAATCACATCGCAGAGATAGATGGTGCACCTCTTGTCCTCTTTTCTCGGAAAATATCAAAAGAAAACAACAAACATTAACAAGAAAACCAAAAACAACTGTAAACAGCATTGTCTCATCCAGGCTTTAAGAACAGCGCAGTGAGTGCCTGGCTCTCCCACTGCACATTTCACACAGCAAAATCAATACTCTTGATATATATTTCCTTACGCTTTGTGCTGAGAAAACCAGAACTTTAACATGATCTTTATAAAGCAAAAAAACCCGCCCCACCCCGAAACCCACCCGCCCACTGACTACTTTCCCTATAGAATCTGAGAAATGTGCTGCTGTTCCCTAATATACAGATTTCATATCTATAATAAGCTACTTTCCTTAGCATACAAACCATAGTTAAAGAATCATATTGTTAATATGAGTAGTACCTTTATAACACTTTAACCCCCCAAAGCTTTCCCACCCTTTCCCCCCTTGAGCATGCTCACAGATCAAAGTTCGGCATGAAGATCTGAGGAACGAAACGTGAATGTGGTTTGAATGAGAAGAAAGCAAGTATGAAATGCTGGTGGTCTGGTTTCTTCAGAAATACCTGTAGTGCAAAACGCCCCCCAGCCACCCCCTCGTTTCTGGGGAAAATGCAATTTGTATTAACGCCGTCGGTTCACCTTTCAACACATCAGGTTTCATTTTATATGCCTTTCCAATCTCATTTTTTTTCTTTCAAGCTGTAATGATATCATCCTTCAAACTTATTAAACTTCAGGCACTAGTTGCCATTTTTAATTTGTATTACACTTGCTTTTACATGCAGGCCAAATTTAATTTGATTTTAATAATTCACATCTGGCATGGAGAGATTCTGTGAGGAAGGCCCCTGCAACATGAGGTTATTAGAGCGCCGATGCCCGAGGGCTGCGTGTCTGTATATCACCACGTTCTGATATGCCACCACAGGACAGGAGAGAGACGATGGAAATGGAGAGAGTTCAGCAAAAAAAGGCCATTATAACCTGTGAATCGAATGCGATCCATTTCGGCGCGACCTGAGGCTAAAAAAACGGCTGTGATATACAGGCGACATTAATGTTTTCCGGCAAAACTTATTTCTGACGTCTGCGAGATTAAACATTTAACATACAGATATATTTTTAGGGAAGACAAACAGGTCAAATATCCACAGTGGAAATCAAATGAGGTCAAAACATGTGCTTTTCTGTCCTACCTAGATTCTAGAGCTCTGTTTTAGCATCTATTTCTGTTTATTTGTGAATTCTGGGAGGACCTGAACTTCCTGTACTTCTGTGTCACTGTATTATCTTTAGTTTTGGCATATCTATGAAGGCAGTGTGGAATTGGCGAGTTGGCAAACGGTGAGAGTAGCGTAAGGGCAGCGTGGATAGAACGCGAAAAACGCAAACAAGAACGTTAAATGCATAGGAAAACAACTCGTTTCAAGAATATTGTCCATTTAATATTTAAAGACCCTGTGAAATCTTTTTTTATGTGTATAGCGTTGATGCATTTCCCTTTAAAACAAGAAGTCGGGGCGTGTCAACTTATTTTAAATAGCCAATAGCCTTTAGGTTACATTACAGCCATAATGTGCTACTTATTACACTGCAAAATCTCTACTCTTAGAAAGTACTGCATCTAAATTTCCATTTGAAATATCTAAAAATAAATCTTTGATGAGACAAAATACACATATTGAAGATACATTCTATGAAAACAGGTCTTAATCTATATATATTTTTGAGATATTTATAATCTTTTTTTACTGGAAAACAAGTAAAAAAGGACTAACTAAACATCATGCTGTGTCGTTACTTGCAGGTACAGTAGTATTAGTGTAGCATCTGATTGGACAAAAATTTGTAGTGCATGATAAATCAGTATTTTTGGTCCATTTTCCAAGTGAAAAAATGAGAGACGTATATTTAAATGCATATTGCTGGTAAAACGCAATATTGTCAACATAGTACTCTAGAATTGGCATCAAAGCTAACAAATATCCACCAATTCAGATTTTATTCTAGAGCTTTTGATTGGACAAAAATTTGTCATTTAATTTTGAGGTCCGATTTACCTGAAGACTGTAAATTTTAAATTGTGTGTGTTAGTTTTGTCAGCTAGCATTAGCCACAGAGCTAACACACAAACTAAGCAATTTTGATTTCACAAGGTCTTTAAGATTCTTGTCAAGTGCTTTAGAGTTGTGTATATGTGTGACTTGTCTGAGAGCAAAGCAACAGCTGCGGTTAAGTACACCATAACGTCAGACTCGGTGGCTTTTTTATTGATGGATCAGTTTGCTCCAACTGTAACCCCCATGGCTGCTATTTACAAGCTGTTCGTGAGCTCTTTACAGGCTGCTCATTAGACCTTTGCAGACAGTTAGCGTCAAGCTAATCCATACCAGCCTGAGAAGCGTTTTCTTAGAAATATGGGTTATTCGTGGATCCAACGAGTCGTCCCGTGGCGTTCTCTATATCTTAAACTCATTTATTAGCGAAATGAACTTTGCAAACGTCAATGTGGAATTGATTGTGCAGGTTTCCGAGGCTGAATTTGACTATTATTTTGATGCCGCAAGATGGTTCCTGTAAAACTCTGATGTGCTTCAGAAGTTGTAAGCAATAACAAGTTTGTCCGTTCAGTAGGTCCGTTACGAACCTCATTTTGTGGGCTGTGTAAGGGTTTAAGGCTTGGTATCTTTGTAACTGCTTGGTTTTCTTATTAATGTGCTTTATCAGTTGATATTCAGCATTTGGCACCAACTGTTTGATGAGTATGCACAAAATGGATGATATGAAAAGTCTACAGGTCCCTTGTAATAGTAAAGTTGCGTGTTACTTCATGAAGCACAGTCGTAGACCTGATGAACTCAAACTAGAACCACTTCAGTTGAAAAATCACTGAAGTGGTGAAAAAAAAAAAACTAAACTAAACTAAAATTTCCAATCCCTGTCAAGCACTAACTGTATTTTTGTATTATTTACCTGTGCAATGGTACAGCTGTTTATATTGCGGATAGTTTGCGTTGAAGCCACAGGTACTTATTCTGCTCAATAAGTAAAGCTTTCATCGGATAAATATGTTTGTTTGTGAATATCTACCCAAGGTTTTGCTAAACCAGCAACACTTCGCACATGCATATATAATAATACTCAGCATTTGTTCTCTGGAACATGGGCCTATTTCTGACATGGATGGATGATGGACAGTTTCCCCCTTTGTTTTTTTTTTCTTCATGGATGAAAATGGCTGAACATGCTCCTAACAATCTCCAATCCACATATTCTACTCCACTAAAATAGTATAGCTTTTAAAATTCTTTTTTTTTCTTCGTTTTTCTATTTTGTTTAAATATTCTGAAACCCAGTAGCTATAAATGTAAAAGGAAAAGAAATCAAAATCCCTTTCCTCTTCCGACCTGAAGCGAATATTTATGCTTTTTATTATTTTTTTCTTTAAACTTATGTCGTTAGTAGTAGTTTGTAGTATTAGTATTGTTATTAATACCATATATTTCTGTTGAGGAATAAAAATGTTTGGTCCTTTGGTCCCTTTGGGGTGAAAGATTGATCAGTTTCACTGAGGGCATGGAAACCTCTTGTGACCACAGAATGTCCTGCGTTTGCTGAAAGACGGTGACAGAAGAAAAGGTAAGAGGAAAAGAGAAAGAAAGTCCACTAGCGGGACAAGAAGAGCTTCTTTTTTTCCCCACTGCATTTTTCCTTGGTTTTCAAGTTTAACCCTCATTTGTCCAGTGTAATAAAAGCCATAAGCGCCTCTTCCTTTAAATAGCATGTGTGTATAATATGTATATAGAAATTGAAGTTGTTCTTGCTAGTTTTTTCTTTTTGTTTGTTGCTTGACTGATGGTGCGAAGCTCAGCGAGAGACGGGACATGTTGAGTTCTCTGTCTTTAGAGAGATCTTCCACTTGTCTTTCGTGCGCTGTGCTAAGTGTGGTTTGTCCACGGGTGCCGGTTCACCTGCAATACCGCCTCCTATATACTGAACATCTTCGTAAAATAAATGCTGATATGTCTTCAAAAAAATCCATTCATGTTGTTCTTGTTTGTTTTGAAAGAAAAAGTTAAATTCCTTTTGAGATTTCACTCTTCAAATCCTGTAAAGAAAATGAAATTCTAAATAATATCAAGAATGTATTCCTGTTAAAAAATTGTGTCTGGTGTCCAAAAGTGCTACCTGTGCTGTTGCTGAGAGCCCTGTGTGGGTTGGGCCCTGTCAGTACGGGCGGCTCGCATCCTTCGGCCGTTTTAACTGCACTTTCAACCTCTTCATGCCGATCTGAAAGCCGTTCATGGCCTGGATAGCAGCATGTGCACTTGCTGGGTTGTCGAAGCTAACGAAGCCTGCAAGAGATCACGAGAACAGATGTGAACCAAGTCGCTCGGCTGCTCAAATTGATTACACGGCATCATATTAAAGCAGTGAAGTTTCCAACAAGTCAAAAATGTCTCTTTTATGAACTTATTTCCACTTCGAACTCTGAAAAATCACCATATACTGTATGCATCTGTGTGGGCTACTTTTGTGCATATATAATCCACTGGTGGTATAGAACAGGGACAAATCGCCCCACAGGACTCCGAAACGGGGCCACCCACAGCAAGCAAACCACATTCGTCCGTGACATCCCCAGCTTCCCATTCAAACCCATAGGCTTTTACAAGCCAGTGACCAAAAAGCCAAAATGAAGTGAGGATGCACTTTCCCTGGCATTACGAGCATCATCAGGAACCAGCAGTGAACCGTGAAAAACAGCGGGCGTTTTCATCGGCCATCAGCCACCTGGGAGCAGAGTGGCCTACGCGCCTAACCGCGCCTGGAACTGCCCCCATTTCGAGGCTTGTATCTACAAGACGAGAAGGTCCACATGGAGGTGATGTGGGGGATAAAGCCACAAGGCTGAATTAATAGGGAATCTATGTATGTCAGTGCTCTCAGCCAAGTCCCATCGGTCCATCTCGGGCCTCGGCCCCCACTTAATTAATTACTCCACCGAGCGCCTGTTACCCAGACCTGACATTATGCAGTAAATGCATAGTGTATAAGTCAATACCGCAAATAGGTCCTACTTCACAAATTTATACCTTATTAACCTCCCCCAGGAGACGGGAGCTGCTATTAATTGTGGCTTGGGAAATGTCTCCCCCTGGAGCGGGAACAGATGTTGATCCATAATGGGCCTTTTTGCTTCACTTAGGACTTTTTTTCTGGCTCAGGGGTTTTTAAAAGGCAGCGCTCCGGTTTGTGGCTTGACACAAAATACAGAATGGAGTTTACACTGTGAAACGGACAGAGACCGATTATTGGTTGTTTTGGGACGGGCTGTATGCGGAAACATTGCTTGCGCAATACTTGTTCTGCAGTTATTCACATTCAGCATGCTGTAATCAAATATTGTATATAAATATATTGTAACTTTTTACTGATATTTTAAGTTTAACATTGATGCTGGAATCAGGCTAGGCAGATTAATCGGCTGATATATAGCCGTTTTGAGATCATTGGCATCTATTACTGAAACGTGTTGATTTGTCTCACCGAAACATTTGCTCTGGTTGGTGGCTCTGTCCATGAAGACCTTGGAGGAGATGACTGTACCAAATGGGAGGAACATCTGCATGAGTTCGTTGTCGCCAAATTCCTGCGGTAGATGGTAGATAAAGAGGTTGCAGCCCTCTGGTCCTGCAACACAAAGATGTTACTCACTGTGGAGTCTCCATTCAAATTAAGTCACAGAGACAACAGAAATGTTTTAATATAAGAACTTGTATTTAGATTATAATGTTAATGTCAGGCCTTTGTGTCCTTTTGTTTCAGAATACCATGCAAGCAATTTTGTTACATTTTTATGTTTTTATAATTATGCTAAAACAGGCCAAATATTTATTACAGATTCTCTACAGTGAATGGGTGCCGTCAGAATACCGTCAGCTGATAAAAACATCACAATAATCCACAAGTAATCCACATGACTCCAGTCCATCAAATTTTCATTTTTTGCGTGAACTATTACTTTAATGGAAGATGCGATTTGCAGTTATTTCAGTATAATGAACTATTCACTCATCATCATGCATGTAGTATTGATCCTTATGCCAAAACAAATGAAAAATCTCTCACCCTCACCTTCTCTCTGCTGCTGCTGTTGAATGACTTGCGGTGGCTGTGGCAAGCTTTGGCCAATAGGGGTCAGTGTGGTCGCTGGGTAGATGGCTGTACGTGCAAAGAGAAATTTGTGTGAGAGCACAGCCTGGATTTATGTGATACAGCATTGAACAAGGCTACTCGAAAGAAAGAAAGAAAGAAAGAAAGAAAGAAAAAGGACAAACTAACGCATGGTTGGTCAAAAACGACCATCCATTTTAAGTAAGCAGCACAAAAATAGAATAGTTTCATGTGGTTTTATATATATATATATATAGAGCGAGAGAGAGAGAGAGAGAGAGAGAGAGAGAGAAGGCTCATTGAGGTAGTGAACCTGTATATTGCTGCACCCCCGTGAAGGCCTGTTGCAGGGTGTCTGCAGCTGTGGGGCTTTGGGTGGAGTAAGGGGGCAGTCCGTTGGTGTACATGGCCTCAACCGCAGGGTGTCCGTTGGGCTGGTGAGGGATGCTGGTAAAGCCGTTGACGATAGGAGTGACAATGCTGGGGACGGCTGATGTAGTGATGTTGGCAGGTGGTGAGCTGAGGCCTGCTGAGCCAGGAAAAAAAACACAGACAGCACATTGTACATTGGTACAGTTTCCAAACAAAGTGTGCAAAAAGTCTGCAGTTTCATATTAAAGCATAGAAAATGTATATGTATACATATAAAGAGAATGCTGTTGATAACTAGCTAAAAGAGAATGATGTCGATTACCACAGAAAATAGTCAAAAACTCATCCCACATTAATAGAATTCAAAAAAATAAATACATACAAACATATATCTATCTATCAGCTTGTTGGCTTTGAGGCTAATGCTATTATACCACTACATGCTGACAAAATGTACTTTTAACACACACACACACACACACACACACACACACACACACACACACATATATATATATATATATATATATATATATATATATATACCCTTTATTATTTCATAATTATTATTTACTTATACCTTATTAATCTTTATTTTTTGTTTCATTTTCAATTAACCTTACTATTATTGTTAATATAATTGATGTACTATATTTTTTCATTAAGTTTAGTTTCATTATTTATTAATACATTACAATACATTCATTAATATATTTTAATTATTTATATATTATGGTTAAGATACTGCACTATTTATATAATATTTATAAAGTTTTATTATTAATATAATAACTCTTTAAAAAGTAATTAACAATCATTATATTATATAATGCTGTTTTAACCTGTTAGAAATGGCATGGCATAGAGATAAATGTAGATGAACTGCTGATCAGTCAGTCATTCTATATCGTCAATATGACAAAAGTGGTTACAACAAAACACAAAAAAAAAACTTATTTTGCGACCATCTGCAAATGAATCGTTTAATAGGCCCTTGCTAGAATAAGTCGGTGTTTGATCCCAAGCCTCGAGCGTTTTCAGAGCTGTGGCTTTGCATCGGTACTAACTAGAAAACAATTCCCATAGGATACCATTTCAATCTGTACCCACGAACAATGCTGGACATAGAGGACGGTCGTCATGGAAACCCCCAGCATGCCTCAATTACAATGTGGCAAAAGACCCTATAGAAAAGTCTTTATAGAAATATGACCGAGCCGATGGATTCAAACAGTCTGCGGTATTGTCCACCCAACCAGCTTCATTTACAGCATGACAATGTGAACCAGGCTCGACACGAACGTAAAGGTTCCCAAAACTGTACTCAAGCCTCCCACTGCTGTAACCTGGGGGAATTCCAGTGGGCCGAGGAGAGCTCTTTACTCTCGTTTGTGCTATTTCCTGTTCCTAAGCTTTTTCGCGATTGTTTGCTTCCCACACTGCACATTGATGAATTAGTTGACGCCTCTGCCCCATTCTTCGCGGAGCCCAGGAGACTGGGCGCGTTCGGGGATGTCCGATAGGCAGCCCCAGCCGAACCGACCACACGTGCGGGGCCGAGCGGCAGCTGCGTGCTGTTATAATGTTGAGAATCTATCATTGTGATGTGACAGTTTGGAAAAGCTGAATGCTGACGGGAGGATCCAGCCCGCAGGAAGGTTAGGAAACAGACTGAGCTAGTCACGGAAACTCAGATCATGTTCTGGTTGAGGAATAAGACTTCAGTAGGCAACAAAAAAAAGCTAAGACAAGACAAATGATACGTTGCTGGGAAAAAGAGGGTAGTTCACATAGAACAGGGATGGCGAACTCCAGTCCTGGAGAGCAGAGTTCAGCTCCAACCCTAATAAAATCTCACCTGCTTGTAGCTTCCTAGTAACCCTTCAGACCTTGATTGGCTTGTTCAGGTGTGTTTGATTAGAGTTGAAGCAAAACTCTGCAGAGCTGTGGCTCTCCAGGACCGACGTTCGCCACCCCTGACATAGAACATGCTTTGGCATTCCACTACACTGCTTTTCCATCGTTCTCTATGTACAGTAAACGTGCGATACACGGATGTGTCGCGAGTTTTGCGCATGAGGCGGCATTCTAAGTCTCAAGTCAGAAGAAGTTCATTAAAAAAAAAAACACGCCTCTAGACATTTTTATTTCACGGCCCTGTGTTTTGCATTCTGTATAATTGTATAACAGATTTCATTAGCATGTTGCTAATGATAACAATCTGAATGAGATTAAACTATTTTTACTGTTACTTTTGGTACTGAATGAAATGAATATTTAACTAAGTTCTAAAAATGATAAATTGAATGTTTCCTTTTGGACATTTCCTAAATTACGCCAACCCTCTTTATCTTTTACCTTGTTTTTAGGCAAGACTGTTGTTACTTGATTTCTAAAGTTTGATGTTAGCATGTGGCTAAGCTAACAATGAAAATTTGAGTTTGATTTACCTGTTTTTGCTCTCTTTTTTTTAAATGTATGTCTTTCCAAGATCTACAAATGAAATTATAAATAGAATGTTTCTCCCAACATTCTCCTAACCTCTATATTCCAGTATATTTTACATGACACCACTTTCAACTAAACACTTTTTATGCATTTTGGCCATTCATTTACGTGCCTGAAAATGCTAACTTTAAAAGCTGAAAATGATACCACTAGATTACCTTTGCGTAAACTACAAACACGCACATATTATGTGTTTGCATAGTGTTCCTTTACAACGTGACATTGCCAATTCCTGGCCTGACATGCATAATACAATGTTGTTGTTGTTTTTTGGCGTTTTTGCAGATCCGTGTAAATGCTCCCATAACATTTTCCTACCCTCTGAATTCTAATATATTTTAGCTTACTATACGTAATGCCATTTTGATTGACAAATAATGCTTTTCACGCAAATCTTGTCACTTCATTTCAGTAGAGCTTGATGTTATGTTGTTAAGCTAATGATCAGTCTGTCAGGCATAAATTGAGACACTTTTCTTAAATGACACAATGGCCTATAAAATGCAAAAAAGTAAAAAAATAAATAAAAAAAGTAAAAAATGTTTTTTTATTATGAACAGCTTTTTGAACTGAATAAAATGCTAATTATTTATAACTGACATAACTCTCATAATGTCCACGATTTTATTCTTTTTTTTTTTTTCACTGAGTTTACTGCAGGACAATCTGGTGTTGCTTTCTATATGAAAATGTACATAATGACTAGGTTTAAGAGCTAATGTTCATAACCTTAAAAACTGTGTTGTGAAAATCAAGTAACATGTCAGTTTACTATGTTCGAGTGTAAACATTTTGCAGTGGTCCTGTACCGGCTTATGACATGCAATTGACAGATCAAAAGAACCAATAGGCGGTTCTTAGTGTAGATCCAAGTATGCACTGTATCATCCTTCCCTTTGTGGTTCAGTGTGGTCCATATCACAGCAATTTGTTCCAGATGGAGTCTATTTTGGCATCCAATTCCAAAAGTCCAGAATGAATCCATCTGTTATTAAACAAATCTTTTGTCTGTCAACCCTGTTAGTATGTTGAGCACTACGAGATGTTGAGTATTCGGCAAATACTGTTATTTCAAGGGGGGAGTGTAATTGGATTTACATTACTGCAATCTGCCCTCGGTGCATCATACTGATTTGCACCCGATGGTGACTACAATGAGGAACAGCTTACCATATGCACCAAAAGGATTTATTATGCAAATTATACACTGAAATCAACAAGGAGTACTGGAACTGTATCGGTTAGCACTGCAGCCCAACCAATCACAATAACTAACTCCCATTACATCCATATTTTAATACAGAGTGTGGCTTATGTTTATTTACACTTGAATTCATAAAGAGGTTTGCTATGTACAGTGGGGAAAAAAAGTATTTAGTCAGCCACCAATTGTGCAAGTTCTCCCACTTAAAAAGATGAGAGAGGCCTGTAATTTTCATCATAGGTATACCTCAACTATGAGAGACAAAATGAGAAAAGAAAATCCAGAAAATCACATTGTAGGATTTTAAAAGAATTTATTTGCAAATTATGGTGGAAAATAAGTATTTGGTCAATAACAAAATTTCATCTCAATACTTTGTTATATACCCTTTGTTGGCAATGACAGAGGTCAAACGTTTTCTGTAAGTCTTCACAAGGTTTTCACACACTGTTGCTGGTATTTTGGCCCATTCCTCCATGCAGATCTCCTCTAGAGCAGTAATGTTTTGGGGCTGTCGCTGGGCAACACGGATTTTCAGCATGACAAAGATTTTCTATGGGGTTGAGATCTGGAGACTGGCTAGGCCACTCCAGGACCTTCAAATTGAAAATTACAGGCCTCTCTCATCTTTTTAAGTGGGAGAACTTGCACAATTGGTGGCTGACTAAATACTTTTTTGCCCCACTGTATGTAATGTAAATCAAATGAGATTCTTTATGCTAGTCCACAAATGTTAAATTCAGTTTGTCCGTCTGACAACTACACACGATCACAATTCACTCTTAATGCTAATTTAATCATTTTTCACTCACCTTCAGGTCTTTTCAGACCTGTATGACTTACTTTCTTCCATCAAACACAAAATCATGGCGCTTCTATGGGCATTTTTGGAGCTTAACAGCTCCAGTCCCCATTCACTTCCATTGTATGTAAAAGAGCAGTGTGAACATTCTGCTAAACGTCTAATTTTGTGTTTTTTTGTTTGTTTGTTTAATATACAGTATATTTATATACATTAATGTGGTCAAATTATTACAGAAATTAAATTTTCGGGCAAACTATTACTTTAATCACAGAGACCAACTGTAGCAGCATTGTATATTTGTTTAAAGCTATTAAATATTTATTTGTCACTAAATATGAGTTAAAACTACATTTGACAGCAGAACACGATTTAAAATGTGTCATAGCAACATGTCTGGCATGAAATAATTTACCAATTCAATCTCCCAGCATGCCACAAAACACAATCTCTGCCTACTGACACCATTGGGGAAATATAAATCAGTGTGAATATGAGACTATGTAGTCTGAATGCTGCAGAAATGCAACAGCAGGTCTTAGTGTTCAACCATTTTGAAGTTATTATAACAGTAAATGACAGATAAATGACTCCAAATGTTGTTTGATGTGGAAACTTTTAACATTTTAACATCTTAAACAGT